GTATCAAATATAGGAATACCACCACGAATAGTCTCACCAATAGAAACATGGATGGCGTATGTCAAGCACCGAAGCCTCTAAGAGTGTGAGTGTGCAATGTAGCCAAGTTTTAAATTTATAAAACCACTACTACCTCTAACTAAAAATATATCTAGGGTGAGTAGGGATCGTACCAAGGGATCATAAGCATGCTTGCAATGGAAACAATGTATAGGGTTAGTAGGTCGAGTGATCAAAATGTGGTGTGTTTGGTTGATTAGACTTCAAACTAAACTAAATAAGTTTAATGTAAGATAAGCAATTTAAATGAAATTTAGAGAAAACAAGAGAGTGAGGTCTTGGGGTCTAGAGGTCACCACTAAACATCACCATTCTAGACATTCAATGTATAATTAATGAGGGGACACATGTGTTGGAATTTGAGAGTGTGTGATTGATTGTTTCAACAAGCATAGATGACCAATTAAGCATATATTGTCTAAGCAACATAGTGAATAACACAATACATCAAACTAAGCCATTAATCCTTCCTTTAAGCTCACAATCCAAACATATCACATGGTTAGAGAATAATACTACTTGCATTTATAAACATGGTACATCAAATAACAAGCATAGATTGTCCTCCCATCTAACAACTAAGGCAACTACACTATAACTAAGCTAAGGGCATGAAAATTAAACTAAATAAACTAAGGGAGAGGCACAATCCATCAAGACATGAGTATGAACCATTAAATAAACCACAATAGTATTCTATTAAGCACTATGCCTTGCCAATCTCTAGATCCATAGCATTAACACACACAGACATGCATCAATAACACAAAAACTAGAGATAAACACATGAATATCTATTCTAGCATATATAGACATATGGATAGAATGAAATGATCAATTGGAAGTATTAAACCACACAAATCATTGAATAAACAAGATTCATATATAAAATAAGTGTTAAGACAAGATTACAACACAAATCCCCTCAAAATATAAAGCATTAGAGTCTAGAAGGCATGCTTAGGGCTAATTCTAGCCCCAAGAAGATGTTTAGCCACTCATTGAAGTAGTTATCCAACCCTTAAGGGCTATCTCCATGGTAGGAATGACCTCCTTCTTGTTGGAACCCTAGAAGAATGGAAGAACTCTTAAGAATATGTCTCTAGCCTCTCCTCCTCTCCTTTTCTTTCTTTTTAAGAATGTTTCTAAGTATATTGTATTGCAGATCTTCCAAGCTCTATGTAAAAATGGCTCAAAATCCTTATATAAGAGGCTAAAGTGTCACACCCAATGGTCTGGATTTGTGCACTAGGGTCCTTGCAATGATAGCACCATGAGACAACTTTTAATGAGCTGGAATTTGATTTAATTCGCACTTGAGAGGGTTCGATCCATCAAACTATGTTGAGATCAATCGAACATTGGTGAGATCCATTGAATGCTGCAGAGATCGATCATCCTTGGTGGCACCTTTTTGAATAAAGACAAATCTCTGAGATATTTTGGGAAAGAAACAAGAGTGGTAGGTGTAGATAAGATCGAATATTTTCGATCGATCGAAGACAAGTTGGATCGATCGAACATGGTGGAATCTTTTGGATAAGAACAAAGGCTTGGATCCATCTTGAAGTGTCCAGATCGATGTGGCTCTGATCGATCGAAGGAATATTGAGATTAATCGAACTTACTGATTTCCACACTTTGCTTCATTTTGCTTCCACTTTGCTCCTTTCTTTTATTCAGCTTGGGATTGCTTCTTTTAAGCTCTTATTTGGCTGAATTAGCTTATTTTTGGGATAAGTACCTAAAAAGGGCGATAACATGAAATTAGTCCAAGACGGAAAAATAAGATAGATAAAGGACCTAGAATACCTAAGCTTAAGGGGTTTAATTGTGCACTTTTCAGCGGTCATCACACCCCCAAACTTAAGTATTGCTAGTCCCTAGCAATGAACTACAAAGTAAAGGAATGAAATGAATGACTATATGACTATGAACCAAAAAAGCAATAAATGGGTAACGCCACTTTCATAGGGAACACGATTACATTTAGCATATGCAACAAGCCTTTTAAACCCCTAGGTTACCCCTAGTGGACAAGTGAAGTCTCGTGAGGGTTTCAAAAAATGATACCCACAAACATTAAGTTTATTCTCACAAAAGAGGAACCAATATTGCAAACAATCATTAGGAGAAAACTACCTCAAGTATGCAATTTTTCAACTATTTCCAAGCAATCTTCCAAAATTTCAACATCAAGCAAGCAAGTATGGTCCTCCACACATCAAGAAAATGACCATGTAAATTAAAACAACTCTAGAATCTTTTTTGAGTGGACCGGCATCAAGTATGTTGCTATCTAAGCCAACTAAAGAAATAATCACATCTTTATCCTCAAACTAGCACACAAATCTAGTACCAATCATCAAGAAAAATGGTGGACCTTTTATTAAAGCTTTATTGAACTAGGTGTGCTTATTCTTTTCACTCGATTTTTTTTTTTTTTTTTTTTTTTTTAATCCCTAAGGATCAAAGATGGAAACATGGTGCAATGTGTTGATCTATTAAGCTTTCTAGTGATCCAAGAGGTCGAACGTTAGGTCAATGACTCCCAAACCAAACGGCTTTAGGGCACTAGGTGTTCAAACACCCCTAAGGACTTACAAGCTCAAATCAACTAAGCCAACCTCCATCTAATCATTTCCCACTTCTCACCTTTTGGGAGAAGTCCTCACTTTTTTATTACTTTTGTAACTTTTTTTTATATTTATTTTTATTAATTTTTTTTTTATATATATAGCATTCAATTATTAACCTAGAGTTTGGGCCCTCCACCTTTTGGCGCGAGAAGTTCAGTGCTTGATGAGGCTAAAATTCTGGCTACTCAATGAAAAGGATTTGTTATCCACTTTTATCAAGATGAAAGCTTTCAATGCACTACTAGCCCAATTGGGATATAACTAATTCAATAATCAACAAAGCATGTACCCCACAAATGAATGCTAGTGTGCACCTATGCTAGTGTAGAATCCTAAAGTGAATCTTAAAACAATCACAAAATCAATATGATGTGGACCACAAGTGCAAGCAAGATATCAATTTTTCAAAAAAATTACTCTTAAATGGCATCCACAAGGCATATAAGGAGTATTGGACTCTCAAGTCAAGTAATTAATAAATTTTAAGCAATATAGTCCTCAAAAGATCAAAATCATAGCTAATTATGGACCAATCATAAAAAATCCCTCAAATACACAAGTCATGCTTAAAATTTTGAATTGAAAGCAAATACTGCAATTAACACCCATTACCCCCAAACTTAAATGGCACAGTGTCCTCAATGTGCAAAGAGAACAAAAGGGAAGAATATACCAGTGTCCTCAATGGCACTTGTATAAAACTCATCAGATAACAAAAGGGATAATAATAGTGCACAGTGGACATGCAAGTGTAAATGGGAGAAGAAATGAACTAAGGAGAGAGGAAAAAGGATGGTCCTAAAAAATTTTGGACAACACTCTCTCACTGAAATCACTGGGATGCACTTGATCAATAGAGTCAATCACAGATAAATGTATCAGTATAAAGATATGACATCTAAAAGATAATATGTATAGAAAGGAAAATAATAAACAATATATGGTACATCACATTGTCTGGGCCGATAGACTGGCCGCAAAAATATCATATCAGTATAAGAAAGAACAGTTAAATATTACAGATATATATCAGATAAAAGAATGATAAAAAGATCAGGCAGAGGAGGTAGGGCGAGCGGGGCGTGATCCCCGGATATCTCTGGGTATGTCACGCAGTGCAGCTAAGGCATCTGCATAGAGAGTAGAAATGTCTAATCTGAGGGAGACTATTACATCCTCTAAAGACTGGACACGCTCTCCTAAGCCGGGTGTCAGAACTAGAGCCTCAAGAATAACTGGATCATAAAACTGTGGTACATCCTGAGTCTGCTCCTGGGAATGAAGTGGCGACCCAACTGGAGAGTGATGTGGTAGCTCTCTGCTAGAGGTTGCTACTCCAAGTCTATCTCTATATGTACTACAGCCGCCGGTGCGTCTCCTAGATCGTTCGCTGCTGCTGTCTCCGCCTCTTCAGCATCTGCAGCCTCCTCAGCTGCTAAGGTAGCATCCTCCTCCAAGCTCGTGATAAGAGCATTGTAGCTCTTATTCTAGTCCTTCTTGCCATAGTGGCAAGCCCCTGACTCAGAACGCTCCGGTGGATAGAAAGGGAAGCGCTGGTCCTGGAAGATCAGAGTAATAAGCTGAGCAAAGGGGAGATACTTAGCCTACTTGGGCTTGGCCTTGCTAATATAATTTGTGTATAGCTTCATCATGACACTCCAGTAGAGTGCCGGAATAGAGAACCAGTGCTCGGTGTAGAAAGCATAAAGGGCTGCCAGAAAATCAGAACGCCGCTGGATCTTATACCCCGCCATAAATACATTTCGGTACAAGACCGAATCGAAAAACCATAGGTCGTTGGGCAGTAAGGGCAACGGCCATGTCTGCATCAGAATGCCTCCTCAAAACAGGATACTCAAGACTAAGAGAGCAGACATGGGGGCACCGAGAAGAAGTGGCCAAAGTGTTGATGGTGATGATGATAGGGTGGCCATCAATGGTAGTCTGCAGCTCTAACAGATTACCCGAGGTCGGCCGGAGGTTCTGGAAGAACATCCGAACAAGCCGCGGGAAAACTGGATAAGTAACTGGCGCCAGAACGGCTAAAATGCCGTGCCACTCAATGTCATCGAAAGCTGCTCGGGTCAAGACTGACCGGGAGAAGAAAGCTATATCAAATACGGACTTATGGGACATAGAAAGGTGTCCGAACTTCTAGACAGGTCGGTCTCGGACCTGGCCAGGTTGTGCCGGTGGTGGAGAAGGAGAAAATATATGCTCATTCTCATCAGAATGGGAAGAAGATATATAAGTGGTATAGGCAGAGCAGTCAAACTGAGCTGGAGCTGGCTCCTCATACTCTTATAACTGCTCATGCTGCTTAGCCTGCTCTGGATCCTGGGCATAAGAAGGCTCTGCTGGCTCCTCTACACGCTGTCGTACCCTCCTCGGATACTGTCGACGGGTAATTGTCTTAACCTGTGCCATGGCCTACAAAACAGAAAAGAAACACTTACAAAATAAGTCAGTAACAGATAATAGAGAATTAAAGCACAGTATATAGAAACATGTATGTCAAATAAGATAAACAACTCAGAATAATTGACATGAATCTATGCAAGTGATAACGTAACCTAGTAAACAGTGACTAAGTGAAACATGCTAAACAGTGTAAGTATGGAATGCATCCAATGTAGAAAACACAGGCATTGGGCATCAATAAACTAGTATGAACACTATGGATGGTGTGTGAAGTGTATATATGCGAATCTGTGAAGTTCGATCGATCAGGATAATATGAGATCGATCTCTCTCAGATCTATCATGACTAAGTTCGATCAATCTTTCTCTGATCGATTTGAGAAATCTTCGATCGATTGAACTGCTGTGAGAAATTCGAAAAGTCACAAATCTATGACGTGGATAACACAGGGGTACCCAAGCAAGCCTGTGGGTCCCCCTACACCTCAACAACACAAGAATGATCACTTATCTTAGCACGTGACCCCCAAAATCAAATTAAAATAAAAATATATGCAAAAAATATATGTACACATGCTTCAACGATCAAAAATGACAACAAATCTATCATGGAAGCTCAGATCTAGCATAGAAAGCATGAAAACATTAAGATTGAAACTCAAAAATGGATATAAAATCCAAACTTACCAAAACTCAACGAGAGAAGTGGAAACCGAGAGAATGAGATGAGATCGAGAGGTGGAGATGAGATTTTGATGCTTGGGAAACTTACCAGAGGCTTCGCTGAAGGTTGGGAAGATGGGTTGCAACGGTGGGAGGCGATTAGGGTTGAGATCGATGTGTAAATCGATCAAATGACCCTAGGGTTTCTATTTTTAAAAATGATTCCCGATATGTTCGATCGATCATGAAAAATCTCAGATCGATCGAACATAAATCGATCTTTAAGAACACAGATCGATCTAAAGCTCAAAACGACACAGCATATTTGATTTATAATTTATTATTATTATTATTATTATTATTTTTTGTAAATATTTTTGAAATATTTTTAGATTTTTGAAAATGAAAATAAAAATAAAAATAAAATGAAAATGAAAATTTTTTTGGATTTTTTTTTTTTTTGAAATATTTTAATTTATTATTTTAAAATAAAAATAAAAGAAAAATATTTTTGTATGTTATATATATATATATAAATAAATCAAAATTCAAAAAAGGCAGTCAAAGTCAAAATCAATAAATGGACACGGATTGATCATTCTAGGATCGATCTGGAAGATACTTCGATCGATCGAATGGGTGAAAACCTGCTGACAAGTTCAATCGATACACAAAGAGGCCTTTTTCATGGGTTTCAAAAAAATTTCTAAGTATAGAATGAAAATCGATCTGAGGAAAATTTTGATCGATCTAAGAGCACTCAGATTGATCTGAACTGAAGTTCGCTCGATACATAGATAGCTGAAATATGTAGGAAATTCTCGATCGATGGGACTGAGAGATGATTTGATGTAGGAATGGATGTTCGATCGATCAAACCTCTTTTGAGATCGATCGAACAAGTGTAAAATGCCCATTTTCAGAATGAAAGTGCATGCATTCTCAATCACAGTTCCTAGCCATGTGTATTAACCCAGAATATATCTAGATGACAAAAGAAATGAAAGGTAAAAATAGAAATGAGGGAGGAATAGGGTTGTAAACCCTACAAAGCAGTGCTAGTCTTTAACGTCTCTAGCAAGACGTTCGGCTCTTTTAGCTTAGATCAAATATCTTGCTATGCATCCCTTCCTTGACGGGGTGAATGGATTTTTGAATCCCACCCAACAAATGGTTCTCTAGAGACCTCATTGGATTTTATTCAAAAGACATTGATGGTCCTTGGTCTATGCAACTCTTGGGCTTCCGTGCCCTTGGAACACTTGGTTTCACAACAACTTTCCTTGAATTCTTATTTGAAGATGAACTCTTAAAACTTCCACTTCTAATTAAAGACTCAATTTTATCAAGTTCATTGTCAATGCACTTTTCTACAACACACACTTCTTCATGCTTGTCTATTGAATTTGGGGTTGGATTAAAGATGTTCAACTTCACCTTCATGTGGCTAAATGAGATTTTCATTATCCCCATCCTATGATTAATGTTGGCATTTGAGAGACAGCCAAGGATAACGTGAATTTGGCTCTTGGGATTCAGAACCGGTTCCGTGTCTATGACAACAAAATCAACGGGGGAAAAAAAACTTATCAATCTTAATCAAAACATCCTCAATGATACCCTAGGGCTTTTTAATAGATCGGTCGGCAAGTTGTAAAACCACCGACGTCGGTTTCAAGTTTCTTAAGCCTAATTTGACATATACTGAATATGAAAGAAGGCTGACACTTGCTCCTAAGTCTAGAAGAGCCTGATTAATGACATGGTTACTAATGATGCAAGAAGTAGTAGGTGAACTGGGGTTCTTAAACTTTGGGAGTGTGTTATGTTGCAAAATGGAGCTCACTTGCTCGGTCAAAACCACTTTCCTTGGTGCTTGGGTTTTGTTCTTCCTCTTTTGGGTGCAAAGATCTTTCAAGAATTTGGCATAAGCCGAAATTTGTTTAATTGCATCCAAAAGTTGAAGATTGATCTTCACTTGCCTAAACACATCAATGATTTCATTAGTCTTGGTTTTTTGTTTGTCAAGAGAAATGGATCCTTTCAAGGCATCCAGAAATGGAGCTTTATGTGACGACCCGGGTTTTGATTCAACCCGGTACTACAGTGATGAACTGAAGATTGACCCGATAGCAAATCCAGATGCGAAAGCAAAAGATAAGAAAACGGTCTCCCAAGGCGCAACACACTTCTAAGACCCTAAGGTGATCTTCCATGAGGTCTCAGAACCCAAAGGGATAAGTGCGGAAGCAAGAGATCGGAAAGGTAACAATTAAGCCCCAGGGGCAAAATGGTCATTTCACAGAGAAATGGATGCTACCAAGCACACCATTGGAAAGAAAATGAAAAATTAACAAATTTGGACTCAAGAATCGCATGATTCGGAGTCCAGACGGCAAAGATATCAAGTCCTGAAGTCGAAGGGATGGAAACCCTATCCCGGTTCGAACCAAAAACTGATACTATCATACTAAAACTTGAGCTACAAATGGAATACGAAGCTCTAATTGATACCATTGGAAAGCTTATTTCGACGTGGTCAGTTTAGACAGAAGAACGGACCAATTCTGAGTTAAAACGAGTGAGATATGGCCTGTTGAAGAAAGGTGTCTAGAGCAGGAACAATAACCGCGGGCGCCCGCCCAAATGGGCAGAACTGTGGGAAATGGTGCAGAGCAGCCCTGTGCATGGCGGGGGCCCGCCTAAGACCCGCGGGTGCCCGCCTAAATGGGCAGAACCCTGGGTCAATTGCAGAAACAGTCTTTTAGCAGAAAAATGAGTTTGCGATGCGGTTTTCGAGGCCAAGATGACATTTTTTGAAAAAATACGAAGAAGAAATTCCCCCTAAAATCACATTTTCTATATGATAAAGTCAAGAAAGGAATTTATTTCCCAAAGAAAATACCCAAAATGCCATTAAGTTAGAATTTTCAACAAATAGGTGAAATGAATCCGTAGGAGGCTCAAAACGCAAACGAAAGGGTTTTTCATGGAAACGATCATTCATGCAAACGTAAATGATGATTTTGAGTGTGCGGGAATGGTCCACGGCTCCCGAAAATGGCCGAGTCAAAATCCGACCCCCCAATGGCCAAAAAGGCGAAAATGAACTTGAAATGAGAAAATTGAAAACCAAAATTGGGAAAATGGTTTCAAATGACCATTTGGCCCTTGGCCACACTTCATGCATATAACATAGGTCCTAGTGGATGTGCCATAACACACGTCACGCCACCCGATTTGAAAATGAACCCTTAAAGGCTCAAATTTTACTATTTAGCCCCAAGAATGCAATATGTGAAACAAGAATACAAAAGTGGAAACAAAATGGTGTTTGGCCCTTGGCCACACCTCATACATGGCAGATGAATGGCAAATAATGAATTTCATACACAATGTACACTCCGGTGCAAAAATGACATGTTGAAACCCCAATTTTCATACTTTTCTCATTAATGGCAAGATTTAACATTTATGTGCATACATGGATTTCAAGTGAAATTTGGTCCTTGGCCACATATCAGATACATCAAATGAACATCAAAAAGTGTGCTTAGGCACACGCTACAAGTCTCAAGGCAAAAATAACATTTTTGACCTAACTATGAATTACAACTTTAAAAGTAAAAGTCAAACACGCTAACACTTGCATGTGAACAAGAATGCATTAAAAAGAAATTCCAAGTCTCCAAACCACCCAAGGAATGCTAAGCATCACGAACCAAGTCTTCGTACCTGAGATATGCCCCAGTAACTTTGGGGTGAGCAACATAAAGCTACTCGTAGGGAATGAGCATGCATCGACCTAGCATTTTACGAAATTATCACCTTAAGGTGAAACATGTTAAAGGGGCTCATGCCACTTAACGTCTATGTTAAGATATGACTCAGGGAGCATCCTAAGCTACCCTAGATGACTAACAACAAGAATCATGATATATACTCATATGAAGCAAGTCAAGATTTGGGACAACCCAAGAACATGACAAGAAGCATACTCGGAATCAAGAACTAGGCATAATATCTATGCAAGTAAACAATGATAGAATACACGACATGAAGTATACTTGGAATCAAGAACGAAGCATAATATCTATGCAAGTAGACAAGGATGGAATACTCCATAAAACACGAAAAGAAGTATACTTGAATAACGAACACGGTATAATATCTATGCTAATGACAAGATTAGAGCATTCTAATTTACACGACAGAAGTCATACGAGAAATCAAGAACAAGGCATAATATCTATGCAAGTAAACATGATTGGGATAACCCATATAACACGATGGTAAGTATACTTGAATATAAGTTAACAAGAATTACATTATCAATGCAATTTACA